ACATCAATTATTATACATTTATTTATATTCCCTATTCATTAATTTATGAGTATTGACATTAAATGTATTAATTACAAAAGATATCTTTAAAATAAAACTTGAACTTATGGTATATTTAATTAAAAAATAATTAATTTAATTGCTTTTATTAGTTTTGATTATTTATCTTATGTTATTTATAATCACTACAAAAAAAAGTCAATTTAGCCACCGAAATTAGTGACCGATTTTTTTTCGTCGCTAATAGCAACATAATTAGCGACCGAATCTGATTTGGTTGCAAATTTTATTTAACGACCAAATTAGCGACTGAATTTTTTAGTGACAAATAATCGATCGCTAAATCGGTCGCTAAAATAATAATTGTTGGTTAAAATAGCGATGAAACGGTTTCGGTCACTAAAAAAATAAAAAATATTATAATTTATAATAATTTTAGCGACCAAATTAAAATCAGTCGCTAAATGTAAATTTTTTAAAAAATTTAGAAATATATTTCTTTTAAATGAAAGCAAATATAAAAATATATAATATTATTTTTATAATGATAAAAATATTAATGATAAGAAATAAAAATCAATACCCTCCCAATAAAATTAATTTGTTTTTTAAAATAATACAAATTATATAATTTAAAATAGATAACTAATATATCATGATGTTTTAAAAAATGAGAAACATAATGCTATAAATGAAAATTAAATAATAATCTTTTTAATTGAATCTTTTTTTAAAAAAATAGACTAATTTAAATAATAATTTATCTAGAAAATTTATTTATTTTTCTCTTGAGAAATTTATTTCTCTTTTACCATGCTTAATATTTTATTACATTATTAGATAATATGAAAATACATAATTTATTGTGCTTTCCAATTTTGTTAAGATAAATAAACTTCTTTTCATAAATCTTATTTTATTTTCATTATTATTTTCAAAATTGACTTAAACATCTAGTTCAATTGATATAAACACGTTAGTTCCATTAAATTAAAAATAATTGGCTTATATAAGGATTAATAAAAATTTATCAAACAAATCTAAAATTGATAAAATATAATTAATGTTCCATTAGTTTAATAAATAAAAATTATAAAATAAATTATATATATAAATATATACACCAATAACACATGAGATCAATTACTTAAAATACGTTATACCATCTATCTTCGATTATGCTCGTACTACTTTGGGGTAGATATCGCTTCTTTGAGGAGACATGATTCTATTATTATATATGAATATGATCCCACCATGGGAAACTGATTCAACAACAACCATATTTTGAAATATTTTTATTTTGTTTAATGATAAATTAATTTTTAATATAAAAATATTTATTTAAAATATATCTAATTATACATATATATTTTAAAATTATATTAATTAAATATGTATATAATAGTTTATCTTAAAAATCAATTCATTTAGATATTATAAAATATTTTATTTTAAACATCAATTAAATAATACCTTGCTACTTATAATTTATTTAAATATTTATAAATGAATATTACATTAACTCCATTGATTATTTTAATCCTTGTCTTTAATTTTATTATATATAAAAATTATTTACCTAATATATTTTGAAATTATTTTCATGAATCTTATTTTATTTCAATTGTTATTTTAAAAGTTAGGCTTAATCATTCAATTCAATTGATATAATCGTGCTAGTTTCATTGTTTAAAAGCAATTGACTTATACAAAAATTAGTAAGAATTTGTGAAACAATTATAAAATGAAATATTTTTTAGTAATTTAAAAAAATTATTATCCTTTGATTTTAATTTACTCATAGATGTTCATAGTATTTAACTTATGATATATACACCTCCTTTTTATTACAATTACACCTGCTTTGTTTAAAAAGGCTAAAATTGCTGACAGTAGAGCTCGAATCCACACACATACTTACGTGGAGAAAATCTTAAGTCTTCCCCCTTAACTAATTGGGCAAACCACCCACTGGTTCTTTTTGATCAGTTTTTAATACATCACAATGCGTTTCCTTGCTTTTTTCTCTATCAAATAGAATATGTGACTGTTTTAACGAAGTTTTTTTTATTCGCACATTTATTTTAAAGTTTCATGTTGAAATAAAATTCCAACACAAATTAACATATTTTATAACTAATATCTGGTTTTAAACTTGATATGAAAATATTATGATATAACTTGATAAGATTTTAAATTAGTATTTTATTAATGGTTGATAATTAGAAAATAAAACAAGGATAAATACATTTTTTGAATTTTATATCTTAGATTTAAGATGAATAAATATATTAAGTTAATTAATAATTTATTTAAAATGTGAAAATTTAATTTATAAAAATAATATTTTAAAAGAGAAGTGTTATAATAATACAGGTGTAACTTTTACTAAGTATTGCATCGCTCAATAACTTTATATTAAATGTGAATTTTATAAATTCAACCGTTAGATTGAAAGTTTTTTACTCTTAGATCATATATACAAAATTTTATATGAATTCAAGATAATTTGATACTTCATTCTTGTAAAATAAAATTGACGTAATATATATGTACTATCCGTACCGCGAAGCCGAGCTCCAAGCTCGGCATCACAGCACAGAATGACATTGGACACGCGCTGGGAGACCTCGGCTAAGACGAGGTCCGTTTACCTAAATAGGTCATAATTGATCTCAGGCTCAAGGCCCAACGAAACCGTAATTCACACTAAGGTACGTGCATTACTTATACGAGACTCATACACCCACAAACACTACCTTTAGCATCGGAGTCTCTTTTGCAGCTACCACTCCCATCTTGGAACATCAAACGTACCAGTGAAGGAGGCTTGCCGATCTTACCCAGCAGATCGTCCCCTACGACCGATCCCTGGTAAGAACATTTGGCACTCACCGTGGGGCCGGTCAAGACAGCTCTTATCGGCCACGCTTATGGTTTTCACCTGTTTGGTGTAGATTGCTAACATATTCTCACTAAAATATAGGTGGGAGTATATTAGCATCCCCATATATATATATGGGGAATGCTAATGTACTCCCACCTATTTTTTAGTGGGAGTATGTTAGCAACCTATACCAAAATTTTAGGACAAAAAAATCACTCATTTATTTTGATTTGGTTAATTCGTACAAAGGATATTATAGTAATTTAATTTAGTTTTAAATGAAAATAAAATATTTTCTCTCTCTTATTAACCTCACACTCTAAGTCATTTATCTCTCCTATTAAATTTCTTCTCCTACTCATTTCTCTTTCCTATTAAATTCTTTCTTTAACATATTTATCGAAGCCGAGCTCCAAGCTCGGCATCACAGCACAGAATGACATTGGACACGCGCTGGGAGACCTCGGCTAAGACGAGGTCCGTTTACCTAAATAGGTCATAATTGATCTCAGGCTCAAGGCCCAACGAAACCGTAATTCACACTAAGGTACGTGCATTACTTATACGAGACTCATACACCCACAAACACTACCTTTAGCATCGGAGTCTCTTTTGCAGCTACCACTCCCATCTTGGAACATCAAACGTACCAGTGAAGGAGGCTTGCCGATCTTACCCAGCAGATCGTCCCCTACGACCGATCCCTGGTAAGAACATTTGGCACTCACCGTGGGGCCGGTCAAGACAGCTCTTATCGGCCACGCTTATGGTTTTCACCTGAAGCCATAGTAAACGAGAAACAGACGACGTAGATCACACGACAAACATGGACAACGA